CTTGCAAGCTGAATGGCCCGAGGGCCCAATCCAAAACGGTCGACAGCGCGTGACCTGTTTGGCCCGGCTTGGCTGCAGGTCCCTGGAAAGCGTCCCAGAGTCACGGTGAAGTGCACCGACAAGGCTTTCATGTGCAAAGCAGGGTCGCGGTTTGGGATTTTGAAGCAGATACTTGGCCGCTGAGCTAGCGAATGATAGGAAAGGTTTGCTCCAGCTGCGGGCGCGGAATGGAAGAGTAATTAGCTTCCCAAGCAAATATCAAATGGGATCTAAGGTTGCAGTAAAATTTCCGCCTATTGCGATAGTTTTGCACAATTACGTTGGTTGGCTACCACCTTGTGCTACAGAAGCGGGCACTCTCAGAGATGATTTGGACGATGATTTTCCTCAAACCGCGGGGCTGCTGTCCAGTTTCTACACTTATATTATATTATTACATGCGGCTGACTGACGGCATGTTTCATCACCAGATCGCTGCACCCAGGAACGCGCTGGGAAGAGACTGCATTGACAGGCCCGGCAAACCCTGGAACAAGACCCTTGTTGTTTCTGATTTTGTTTCGTGGCGCGGAAAACGAAGCTTTGCAGTGCAGGTGTGGCTCCACCATCGATTTCTTCAAGAAAGATTGCAAGTACCAGGTGCCTTGCGTCTCATCACTTTGTTTCATGTAGAATTGCCCAGCCGGGGCAGCAAGTTTTCCAAGTGCTGTCTTGGAAGTTGAGGTGTGCGTTTGTCTTGCGGACCGTTTTCCAAGTTTTCGTTTTCCTTGCATGTGCCATAACTACTGCACTCTTCTTCTTCACTGTTCTTGATCATTTTTGCTTGTCTTCAGTGATGGTTTGTGTGAATGTGTTGATGACTTCCTAAGTGCTCTCAATGCATCGAGTTCTGTATTTGAGAAGCTTCGTTTCAGTCCTGCGTGCAGATGAGTACATTACATTTTGAAGGGCATATTGAAGTGCATCATAGTTCATCTCCTTTTTTAGGTGAGGATCGACAACACCCAGGATGAACAGGAGATTGACGCCCGCCTGGCCAAGGCGGTCAACCCTCGTCCGTGCGGCGGGAGCGGGGGTAATGTAGACCATGCCAGAGCGATTCAAAACGCAAAGGCCATGTAGATCGTAAGATTTTCCAGGTGATTTGTTTGTGATGTGCATCGAGTCCTCATGCTCCAGATGCTTCGCTCAGCTTTTGACTCTTGACCAGGCAATCCAGCTACCGCAGCTGGAGTACGCAGGCATGGGCTCATGTTTGGCATAACCATGATGCGACAAGCAACGAGACCACCCCTAGCGCGATCTCCTAGTGAATTGAGCAACACCTTTAGCAGATGTCATCCCTTTCCCAGAGAGAAAGGAGCTTGATTGCCATGCGGCAAGCTTTAAACTGACTTGGCAAGCCAACTGGGCTCTGAGGGAGGGAGTCTGGGCGCCGTTGAACTCGACAGCCCATCGTCCACATAAGTTCACGGTCGGGGACCACCGACTTGAAAGTGGATTTCTTGATTGTTTTTTGGACTTCCGGTTGGTGCCTTGCACTGATGGAGGTGGAAGTTTGCTGACCATTCTGCTCGAGGATGGACGTTTGGTGAACGCTCAAGTTAGCCGCCAAGTGGAGTGGAACCGTTTCGCCATCAAGGTGGACGGCCAAGGTGGGTGGGCTCGGGACAGCCACACGGGGCGTTTCCGGGGTTGACGGGCTTCAATGCTCTAGCGCAAACGAGAGGACCTTCTTGCTTCTCGGCCCATGACGGAGGCGAAAGTTGGGAACATTATACATTCATTTAGAATTGAATTGACATTGGGACAGGCTTGTCTCCCGCTTGTTTTTGCTTTATAGTTATACTGGATTTCCAATGTTTGGGCTGGATGTTGGCATGACTAGTTCATGCTGACCATGCTGATTGCGATACTTTTATCGTTGTGAATGCCTGCAAACTTCTTCAACCTTTTGCACTTTGGGCCCGTGTCCCTACTCAGTACTCCGCAAAGTGCTATGCCCAAAGAAGCATTCTTTGCCGGGCTGGTTGGTCTACTATCACCACTGTCCGCAGACCAAGACCAGCTGGTGGAGTTGAACGAAGCCAACCACGTCCAGGGCCACTGTGCGGACTTCGACTCCAAGGCCCCAATGTTTCGATGTTTAGTGGGTCCGCGGAATGTGTGGGAGAATTCGCCAACCAGTCCAACGCCTGATCTCTTTTTGCTTCAAAAATGCACGTTCTGGGTGAGTTTCTGCGAGGCCTATCTGAAGTACTGCGCCATCCAGCGGGACCGCTTCCGGTTCTTAGAAGACCCTCCGACTGAGTATGGAAGCATGGGTTAGGCGCTCTACTTCTACTTTCTTGCGCTCATGATGGGGTGTTCATGAGACTACACTCACCGAGTGCCTCTGTGTGAGCTAGACACCAGAGAGTCTGCGTTTGAGAAGGCGTATGAATCAAGTGGCCGACCTGTATTGGGACCTGGTGGATTGCCAGAAACAGATGCGGCAGGCGAGAGGTAACTACCAAGCAGTCCTGAGGTTTGTCTAGAGGGTTAGCTGGTGCTTGCTGCTCAACGCAAGGGACTGTAAGCTGGGCTGCTTGCGAAACTGGAGCAAAACTGTGCCTTGTTTGAAGCACATCGCTGCTGAGGACAGTATCACATGCCGGAAGATGGATGTGGAGACACAGGTGATTTATATTGATACTGCAGTGGCTGTGCTGAGATGACGTGCTTGATAAGAAAGTTGAGAATTCGGAGCTTATTCGGCCTAGCCCAGGTTGGGGGTTGTGAGTTGTGGGTGCTGGAACTCATGAATCTTGATGGCGGGCTTGCTGGGCTCTCAGGTTGAAAGCGCCACTGTCCAGACCCCGGACATCAAGAGCCTTGCAGACTTGCTCTTGGGTGCTGATGGTGAACGCTTCAAAGGGCAGCAGCTGATCTACAGGCCGGGCATGTGAATTCGCAGACGGGACACTAGTAGGTAAGAGCCATGTTGACAATGATTGCAGTCTAAGGAACATCTGGCAATGCCCATGCGTGCTTGAGGTTTTCTCCAAGAGGGCCATGCTTGGGGTTCCATGTCCAGAGCAGAAGAAAGAACTCGCCCTGTAGGTGCTTAATGATCGCTGGCCCTGGCACGGGCAAGACTTGGTCCTCCTGCCAGTTGATGTACCACTTGAGCAAGGCTGGTAGGCTGGTGGTGAAATCTGGCAATTTTTGGAGTCAGACCCACGCCCCACCCCCACCAAGCTCTGTTGTTCGACCCGTCATGCCATGTCCTCCCCACCAGGCCTGCTCGGCCAGATCGGTGCTCACGGGAATTGTCAAAATGCCCACCTTGATCTTCGCGCAAAAGATTGCAGGTGCGGCAAAGTAGGTGCCCGTTTCACTGGGTGAAGTGTTGCGCAGGAATTTGCAAGAATCAGGTTTGGAGAGTGGTCATGTAGGGTGTTAGAAGAGTTTTGCGAGTCTTGTGCGTGGCTTGTGATGTTATTTGCAAGCACCTCATTTACAACAGTGACCTTGTAGACAGTTGACAAGCAGAGGTGTGTTTGCAAACGTTTGGCTTCAGCGCTGAAAGACTAGGGACGTTCCATCCTGGTGGCGCGCATTCAGGTAGGTGATGGCGACTTTGGCAGACTCCTTCCTTCAGGATCTTGAGGATTTAGAGGAGCCAGATCCAGAAGCAGAGGAACCGGCAGCAAAGAAGGCCAAAAAAGGGAAGAAAGCTCCGGTCGAGAAGGATTTGAGCACTGCTGCCTTAGTAGATGATGAAGAGGAGGCGGAGGAGATCCCAGATGCGATTCAGGTGTTTATGAACAACGAGAAGAGCGGCAGCTCCAGTGTCTCAGAGATGTTGAAGAATGATGAATTCCAGAAGCTCATGGATGAGGTGCGCGAACGAAAAGATGAGCAGCCTGCCCTGGAGCTGGGCAAGCAGCTGAGTGAGGAGGACACCGAGTATCCCCTTATCACCCGATGTAACTCTTTGGTGCGAGAGATTGATGACGAGATGATGAACATCCACCGCTTCGTGCGGGATATCTATTCCAAGAAGTTCCCAGAGTTAGAGTCCATTGTGACCAGCCCCTTGGACTATTTGCAGGTGGTCCAGCGTATTGGCAACACAAAGGACCTCACAACGATTGATTTCTCAGACATCCTGCCAAACACAGCTGTCATGGCCATCACCGTGACGGCTTCCATGACTGCTGGCACCCAACTACCGAGGCAAGAATTGGACAAGATGCTGGTGGGCTGTGATGAAGCCTTTCTGCTCAATGACTGCAAGCGAGATGTTTTGCTGTACCTTGAAAGTCGAATGTCCGGTTTGGCTCCCAACCTCTCAGCATTGCTTGGTGCGGCTCTCGCTGCCAAGCTGATTACTGCTGCTGGTGGCCTCTTGAACCTGGCACGTATGCCAGCTCAGAATATCATTTTGGTAGGCTCTCAGAAGAAGTCGCTCCTGGGCATGGGCTCTGGAGCCTACAGTACTCAGGGCATCATTTTCCTCAGTGACCTCATTGTGAGCACTCCGATGGAGTTTCGAAACCGCGCCGTGAAGCTGGTGGCGGGCAAGTGTGGTTTGGCCGCTCGTGTCGACTCCTTCCACGAGTCTCCGCTAGGACAGGTGGGGACGCAGTTGCGAGAGAAGATCCTCCAATCCTTGGCAAAGGCACAGGAGCCACCACCCGCCAAGCAGAAGAAGACCTTGCCACCTCCTGAAGACAGACCTCGTGCCAAGAGAGGTGGCAAGAGGCATCGGCGAATCAAGGAGAAGTATGGACAGTCAGAGTTCAAGAAGATGCTCAATCGAACCAAGTTTGGCGTGGATCCGGAGGACAATATCTACACTGAGGAGTGGGGCTTGGGACTCCCCTACTTCGAAGGCAAGCCGGTTCCATTGAAGGCCGCGAAGGTGTCCAAGGAGAAGCAGCTCCAACGAAACATCCAGGCCATGAAGCGCCAGCGAGCTGCTGCCTCTGCAGGCAATGAGAGTGGGCTCAGTAGTTCCTTGGCATTCACGCCAGTACAGGGAATTGAGCTTGCGAATCCCAGTGCTCAGAGGAAGGCGCCTGATGTGGGCGAGAAGTACTTCTCCAACTCTGCAGGCTTCGTCAATTTGTCTACGCCAATGCGCAATCCATGAGCTGGCCCGCTGTATATGATATGGACTCTGCAGGAGTGAAAAATGTGGCATGAATAGTCGATATGCTTTGTCCCCCTGTTGGTTGCGGTTTTCTGAGAGCATAGCTTGGCATTGATTTTCATTCAGATACAATGATTGAACTACCCTGCGAGAAGTGTGTCTATTGCATGAGTCACCTATGCTCAGTCAGGTATGATGCGCGCAGAGGGAGTCAGCGACGTTATGTACAACAAGCTGCCGCTGGCAGCGACTTGGTTTGCCTGAGAACCAGCTTGTTGGCCTATTTGAAGGTGGCCCCTCAACCAAAGTATGTAGACGCCAACCTTCATGCAACACAATCTCCTGCCTCCAGCGAACATTGTTGGATCCTATGCCCTTGTGGTTGGCAGGTGGGCAAGTACATGTCCAATCAGTCGGCTTGCTGTGGGTGAGACATTTCTTCACTGCAAGTGGTATGCTGTTGTTGGAATCCTTGTCTTTCCTGTAGAGGTCCTTTCGTTCGTGATGGGTACCTTTTGGATTTTGGGCAATTGACTAGGCCATTAGGCTCGGCATCCACTGTTTATTGGGCTTTAGTCTAAGGCGTGCACCAATTGCAACAAAAAAAGGCGCCTGTGAACTAGATAATTAGGAGACCCTTCAAAGAAAGAGATGCCGTGCGATCTGCGACACAAGTATATAGTCTGAACGAGATTGTGCAACCATCACAACATGTGATTCAGACATAGCGCATTTGAATTTAGCAGTGAGTGGTAGTTCCCGCTCTTGTGGGACAAGTCTGGCTTTGGGCTGGGTGTCTTCGAATAGCGACTGACAACCCATCTCGAGGCCCAAAATGCGATCCTGGACAAGCCGTGGTTGGAGGATGGGTTCAAAATTGAGTGCCCTTCTCGTTGAGTGTGGAGAGTTCCCAGAGTTCTCTGAGATGCCCTTTCGAAATCACTCGCTGGGAGAGTTGACCAGTGACGTGAGGAAGTGTGTCGACCAGGCCTAGCCCTGAAAGGCAAAACATGTGTCGATGATGCTCTGACCAACTTAGATTGAGCAATGTCTAGTTTCCCTCAAGTCTAGGAACCAAATGATTAGTGCGAGCACTTCTTCAAGGAAGCTCGCCCACAGGCCCCTATCCTTCTTCTGAAGAAGCGTGAGCTAGTAAGCTATCGTACGTCCTGCCTAGAAGCTAACTTAAGCCCTTACTGTACTTAATTAAGTAGGCACGCCTACACAATTATATATAAGTTGTGTAGGAGCGAGCAATCACAAAATGCTGCAAGTCTCATTGGAAGACCTTGGAGTTGATGATGGTAAGATTTGCAAAAGGTGGCCAGTTGGGCTGCATCGGGTGAGTTAGGCAACAGCGGCATCGATGTAAAACATCCATAGTTTTAGGGTTGAGAGAGAGGTTTGCTTGGCCATGGTCATCACCAGGTACGGCCAGGAGTATTGTGCCGTCCTGGTTCGGGCGCTGCGGCTTCGCAGTGCGATCGTGTCTTTTTGGCAAGTCGTCAGGAGCAACTGGTAGCGTCCTTGCTCCTAGTAGCGATGCCCTTTGTTATGAGTAGCTTCTTGTTACTAGCAGTATGGCCAGAAGCTACTAGCAGCGTCCTAGCCACAGGACAGCCAAGGTGATGGTTTCGGTGCTGATCAGGGTGGGTTTGGGCCCTTTGGGCATGGTCCTGGTTTTGTGGGGGTGTTTGCCAATTCATGCCCTTTGGAATGAAAGGCTAGACGGCTAGAGATTTTTTTGTGCACATGGTTATATAGTTATAAGTTATGTGAGTTATGTGTGACGCGTTTCTCATCGGCTGGTTGCAGCACCTGGTTTTCAGACTCGACTTGAAGGGTTTGACTGCGAGTACTTGGAGCTGCAGGTGCTCTTGGATGGCATCGATGAAGCCTCAGATGTGAAAGGCGTCTTGCAGAGCTATATCATGCGTCGCCTGGTTCCGATGGAGATATCCTTGGTCCTCACCTCTCGTCCGGAGGGGGTCAGCGCTGACTTGAGTACCTTGAAGCAATCCTTTGCCATCATGTCCCTCAAGCCTTTGTCGGATAAGCAGCAGAAGGACATCATCTTGAACCAGGAGCTCCGGATGTTGGAATGCGGTGTGGGCACAGTGACACCAGAAAGGGCTCACCACTCATCCAGGCTACATGTGAAGCAGGGGATGCGCATGCTTTGGTCGTTTGCGTGGCCCTCGTGCAGGTCCAGAGTGAGGGGAATGAATTCTTCGAGAAGATGATGGGCTTTGCAGAGACGCGGTGGAGGTCTTATCTCTGCTGAGGGGGACGTGTGAGACAAGAGGGTATGCAAAATGGACGTAGATGGAAGGCCACCAAAATCCTCCCTCTGAAACTTTCTGAATGAAATCCGTGTGGTTCTAACAACGACTCTTCATGCACACCCGTGTCCAAAACACTCCAACAAAGCTCCAGTGGCTAAAATGGCGATGGTTCTTGTGCAGTTTGTGCATGAACCCAGAAGGGCAGAACTCTCTTCATGGAGTGTGGGTGATCAGATATGCTGTCCGTGGATTCGGCCGATCGCACATGGCCAGTCGCTCGCCGCGGAGCCACTGAGCACAGCTGAGGACATCCGGGCCAAGCATGACCTCATCTATTACCATGAGGCCTTTCCCGATCCAAAAGACCGACGCTACATGGAGAAGCAGCTTCCAGCTGTAAATCGCTTCAAGCGGCTTGGTCTCAGCATCTCAGGGCATCTCAGGGCCACCAGGCTGTGTGAGGTGGGTGTGGGTGGAAAAACCGGTGTTTGTTGCTAGCTGAGGCAATTTTTTATAGACCCGAACAGACCTTTGAACTTGATTTAGTGCTCGTGCCACTGAGGAAGGAGGATGGCAGCTGGGATCCCACCATGGTTCAACACTTGAAAGGCCAAGTGATCAAGGCCATTCCGACAGGCCAGGTGTTGCGGAGGAGGGGGCAAGATGCTTTGGTCATGGACTGCGGTGGCCATACGCAGGGCCTTCCGCCTGGCCATGGACTGCAAAGGTGCAGTGTGGAACCCTGATTTTCCAATTCACCCTTCAGAACTTCACTTTAGAGTCGATTTCTTGGGCCTTGGGGAAATTCGGAGCACCTTGGTTTCGTGGCTCTTTGCCGCTCCGGGGGCTCTTCCGGCGAGGAACGGCGCCCAGCTCGGCATACTTGAAGGCTGCCTCCGGCTACTTCACGGGCGAGCTCTTTCGTGGCTCGGTGGTGCTTTGGTGGCCCCCAGCAGTTGCGGAGTTGCTAGGCAGATTCCCTCCTTGTGCATTTGATGCAGGTCATTGGGAAACAGATGGACACAGAATCCTGCTCAAGCAGGCTATAATGTTCCCTGTTTGTTTGGTGAACATTCTGGGCCGACCTGGAGATTCGCAGACAACCATCTATGGAGGTGGTCACCTCTCAGGTCCTGGACGGTTAGGGCGGTTTGGTCAGGATTTCCGCCGATGGAGAACACCTGAGAACAGACAAGAGTGGATAGGTATCGCATGTTGCCAGGTTGGACCGGAACATTCTGCTGAGGAAGGGGGTCGGGGGTGTCGAGGTGTCATGGACAAGCTCTTGAAGGAGAAGAAGCCCACAGCTGACCTGGACGCGGTGTTGAAGGAGCTCGGATTGGAGAGTGAAGCAAGTCGCTTTAAAAGCCTTCAAGCCTTCAAGCACAGGATGTGACGGATCATTTGCTCGTTTTTCATGGCTCATGGCTTTCCTTTCGGTATGAGGCACACATTTGGTGGAAGGGATGAGTGGCAAAAGGATGGAGAAGTTTGATTTGATTTCCGGGCCCCCATTTTGAGGTACAGACGCCTCTGAAGCCTCAGACCTGAGACGTTTGCAGGAGAAGTTCCCTGGCACGGATGCCTTCAAGCCTGGGCCCTCCTTGGCCAAAAAGCTCTATGAACTCGCTGAGAAGAAGAGCCTCAGCATGACGACAAGCGACGTGCCTAGCTTCCCTACGTCCCCACCAATCTGGGCACTCTTTCTCCATATAGGATTACTCGGGACCACCCTACGACCCCACACTCCCAACCAGACCAGATGTGACTGGGTTGATGTGCACCAGCGCCGGGAGTCTCTCGCCCCAGGAAGGTCACCAACAACCAGGATCTTTGGTCCAAGGTGTGGGCCTTGGATGAAAAGCGTTGAGCTGAAAGGCAGGTGTACTATTAGTTCATTGAAGCCTGAATCAAGATTCAATGTATTATATACACACCGTATATGTATGCAACTCAATAATTCACAGCACTAGCAGCCTTGCTGGTTGAACATTGAACCTGGACATCCTGGAAATGTTAGCCTTGCCCCTACCACTCTGAATCAGACACCCCGAAATGCGATCAGCCCATGGGAGCGGTGAGGTGGTTTGCAACACAGATCAACTGCTGACGGCGGCCGAAGACTTCAAGCCAGTCTTTGAGAAGGCTGTCGACGTCGGGGACCTTAGAGTGAAGTGAGACTCACCGTGAGACCACTGTGATTCATGGGATTCAATTTCCGTCCGGCCAAATGGCTTCCACCTGTGGGGCCGACCTGGAGGGATGGATGATCTTGGCCTGGAGGGGTGTTCACGCCTAGGCCCTGTGCAAATACGTCCAGGAGGAGCTGAAGAAAACGGCCCAGGCCATCGTATCCACATGTATCCACTCTGGTTGGCAAGTCTCGGGGTCCAGCGGCACTGTGCCAAAATCTTCAGAGTAAATTGCAAGATAACTCGGTACTAATTTACTAATTGTCAACCACAAGCAACCACCTACCTACGGAGGTTACCAACATTTTGAGCTTCCTTAAAGTGGCCTGCTAGTTTACCTTTCGGTGCCGTTTGGGAATGTTTGTGGCGAGCTGTTTGTTTCCCACAGCCCGCAGGAAGGCCAGCAGATCAGCTATGACTACGACCTGGTGCTGGGGCCCTTGAAAGATCCCGTGCGAGTTTGTGAAAAGGCGGGTCTTGGGCGCAATATAACAATATGGAGTATGGCAGAGGGCTGCATTACAGTCTTGTGAGATCACTCGGGCAACGTCCTGTTTTCTTCTCTTGGTACAAAATGCCTGCGATGGTCTCACCGCTCGTTCGATGTCCTGTCCAAAGACTCCCCCTTCGCGGATTCGCGAATGCTGGAAAAGTACAAAGAGACAGCTCAAGGCATCTTTCTATGGCTGAGTGTCTTACTTCTATAATACTCAGCCCGCATCCTTTCGGCCGCATTCTCCTGTTGGAAGCGGTTCCACGGATTGGCAGGTTTCAAATCCACCAGCTGGGTCGTTGTCTGACCCGCCTGCGTTGCCACCTTTTGAAGCAGCGCCGATGCCACCTCAGCTCGCTCGGCGGCCTGGTCAGCCGCCCGCGCCGCTCTATGCGCACTCTCCGCAGCCTTCTCAGCCGCTCCACTTGCCTTTTCAGCCAAGACACTGGGAGGATCTGTGGATCCACTCGGCTGAACAGACCGTCGTCTCAAAGGTCTGGATGAAGAGGAGCTAGGACCAGGCGAGCTTGGTTGACCCTTCGAGAGCTTTGCACCCGAACGGTCAGACACCTGCAATTGCTCTTCCTTCTGAACTTCACAACCCCTTCTGGTGTCATCTCTCCATGAACTCTGCATCCTTGTTGTCCCTGGAGCCGCATCAGCAACCGCGGCTTCTTCTTCACTTGTGGAGGTTTTTTCAGCCCCCTCTTCTGACCTCAGCGTTCTTGTAGGCGCCCTTGTCGTTCTTGGTCGCCTCGAACGCCATGATGTAGAAGAGCCACCCCCTTCTTCCTCTTCGCTATCACCTGTTTGGTGTCGTTCACCAGCCCTCAAACACAATCGGCGGAGACAGCAATGCACAGACATGCAGGCTGCCCTAGCCACCCAGATTGCCCCAATGACGACTAGCACCAAGCCACACGTCCACAGATGCTCGAAAGTTGACGATTCCTGACCCCTTTCTCCTTCTTCTGCATGCGCTTCGGCCATTTGGACAGCATGCTCCCAGCAACCAAGGCACGAAGCGCGCCAGGGTGATCTTGTAGGTCGACTTGAGCAGGATGTAGATCCCCGACCTTCATTGTTTTCAGCCTCCCTGAACTCTCGCATCCCCAGATCCGAGAGAAAACCGGAGAAGCTTTGCCCTGCCAACGGTTTGGTCATACGTCGGCACCCAGTTCAGTCCCCCGGAGATGGTAAAGCTTCCAAGGGCCGCCTGGATACGTGCTATGGCCTTCAAGGGCCTCCCGAAGGATGTTGGACCTGACTCGAAGATGTCTTGTCCTCCATGAAGTTGAACTGTTTCCATGAGCAAGGCCAATGGCGGCAGCGTTGTCACCATAGATGATCCGCTCAAAGGTGTTTTCACTCACCAGCGGCTCCCCCCACATGGCACAAAGAAGGGCTTCAGTAGCCCGTCCGGCTGTCAACGCCTCGCAGTAGGAGACAAGTTCTGCCTCAGCTGTGCTGTGAGTCACAAAGGGCTGAGTGGAGCTCTGCCATGCTATCGGAGATCCTGCCATGCACAGAACCAAACCTTGAATGCTCCTATGGCCCGTTCCTGAACCATAGGCAATGTCAGCAAAAACTTCCAGCAGGTTGCCATGGCGTTGAACTTTCAGCTGGTTGCGAGAACCCCATTTGTCCTTCACTTCAGTGGACGAAGATCCCCAGGAGTGCCCTTGATGTATGCAAGCAAAGCATGAGCTATCTCGATGGCTTTCTTTGGGTTTCATGTGACCAGACGACTGACAGCAGCAACACCGTATGCCAGGTCCGGTCTCGACCTGGTCGATAGCCAAAGTAAAGAACCAGCCAAGACCTGCGCTTCACGGATCTGAGCTCTGTCCACCTCCGCCTGCTGCTCGCAATCCTCCTCCCCAATCTTAAAGTGTGGAAAGGTCAGGGATCTCCCACCGGCCATCGAGCAAGTAGCTCTTGCTCATACTTCTTCTGTGACAGATGTAGCCCACCTCCACCTTCATCCATAGTCACTTCAAAGCCACAGAAATGCACCGGATTGGTGGTCGATGCCCATTCAGCGCTTGAAGTGGCCCATGTGGAGCTCAAGGCCTTGAGAGCTGCACCAACTGCCTCCTCCTCACCTGACAACAAGATGTCATCAACGTAGACGGACATCAAACCAGACCACACCATTTCAGCAGAGGTCTGGTCAACCTCCTCCAAGCGCCAAAGATTCTCATCGGCCGTCTTGATGAAGGAGCCCTTCACTTCGCGTCCTTGGCGAAGGCGAGTCCAGGTGATCATGGGCAAGGTGGCGTCCCTGTATTGTGACCAGTCCCGTGGCGATGTAGTCAACCCATACATTGCAAGGCGGACCAACCAAATGTCGTCCTCCTTGCAGTCCAAGTCGCCGGTACACCGACGGAATCTCCATCGCCGCCAAGCGCCCGTCTTCTCGACGAGGAGCATTCCGAAAAGCAACTCTGATGTCTGTAGCTGCCACCGACCACCTTTTCAATGCAGCCGTTCGTAGCAAGACTCGAACTTGACACCCGTCAGCCCCCCCCGGCATAACAGTAGCCATGGAACCTTGTCTCTGAGTAGTTGCCACAGCGCACGGCTCGTGAGCGCCGTGCCCCTACACCCGCTTTCTGGGTGTATACCATCTTGGCAGGGAGGATCTCAATGGTCTTGTTCTCCTGCTCAGCTCGGTGCCTCAAAGCCTTCTTAGAGATCTGCTCCACCGCCTCCTTGGTGTGAACCAGCTGGTTATACTCAGCAGTGATCGAAGGCGCCCAATTCTCAAAGTCTTCATGGACTTCTTTGGAGCTGATCGTCTTTGTGACCAAAAACTCTTCTTCCAGCTCCTTTTGCCCCATCGACTGGCTCTCATGTTCGGCCTTGAGGAGAATCTCTTCGGCCTCGATCTTGTGCATGATCGCCCCCGTGAGCACTCCCCTGTTCATGGTTAGTGACATCCACATGCTGCATCTCTTCACTGATGTACTCGGCCAGGTTGGCCTGGATCTTGCGCAAAAACTGGACCTTCGTGGTGGGAGCTTTCCCAAATGCCCTCTGCTGCTTTGGTGAGGCCACCAGGCATGAGCCACCGTCCTGGTTGTTAGGCGCCTCCGCCTTCTCCACTCCTCCAGTCGAGTGTTTCGATGGTCCAGCTGTCGCTGCTCACCTCAATCGCTTCAAGCGCCGCCATTGACATGGGGTCAAAATGATCCTGATGCACAGAGAGCCAACGTTGAACCCATGCCTCCCCCTCCATGTGCAGCATGGACAATTGCGGAATGGCTGTTTTTTCTCTGAGCCGCCTTCTGGGAACACCACCGTCCCACAGGGCATGAGGTGGTTGATCAGGGAGTTCAGGCAGGTGTACCATCATTCATCAGCCTCCGGTTGATCAGCTGCTGGGATCACCACATCATCAGGGAAAAAGTGCCGAGAAGTTTCGACCGATTGCGCATAATAGCTGGTTGTGGTCAAGGAGGACTGAACTGAAGGACCCAAGATACGAACCTCATCTCTGATGTCCCTCCATGGTTGGTAGCGATCTTGTCAGGATTTCTTCAAGGCAAAAGCACGAGCTCCAAAACGTAGGAGTGGTCCCACCGGAAATCCCAGATGGCCCAGTTGGCCCCTCAACCGGCGTTCCCTGATGTGGGTTGCAGCCAAGGGCCAAATATCCAACCCCAAATCGACCGTGGTCACCATGGTCCGCACATGCTTCTTGATGACTCCTAATTCACCCTCGACTCGGCCGTTGGATTTGAAGGAATCACCAGATGTCAGGGTGGTTACAATACCTCTGTCCAAAGTCCAGCGGCGAACCGGTGCCGAAATCCCTGCTCATCCTCCACAGTTTTGCACCATTCATCAAATGCTTCCTCTCCCCGACGAACATGATCCTCCGCCACAGCGCCAACATCAGCACCGCCAGCGTCACCATCCTCCCCGGACCCCCATGAGCCTCCTCCGCCATGAGATTGACTTCGCCGCAATCAACTCCATCAGGTTCAGTGGTCGTGTACTCCTCATCCACCATGTCACTGGCAGGACCAAGTCCCTGTTCGGGGGGGGCCAATGGGTCACTTGCTGGTGCCACTATCTCCACCAAGGGGTTGCCAGCTCGAGTCACTGGGAACGTATACAGAGCCACCATCATGTATTTGCATTCATGACGACTTTGGTCACGACCCGGAACCATGCGTCCAGAAAGATCAACACTCAATGTGAACGAGTCTGGATGAACAATGCGACGGTGAGGCTTGCTGCGAGCGGTGGACTTGATACAATGCTTTGCAGTCGCGACGCGCCGGCGTGTGGTCATTGAGGTAATGGCGACGCCATGAGTATAAAGGCCACCTGCCCCAGAGGTCGCAGAGACACGGAAGTCATTGAAGCAGAAGCCGTAGCGCCACTCAACCTGTCACGAACTGCCGCAGCAATGGCGCTCTTCAAACCAGGCGCCCAAGCCGCCCATGTTTTGGACTCTGCACATCGCTCTGTCACAGACATGGATTGACGATCTGGAGACGAAGCCGCGAGCAGGAGGTCCACGAAGATCAGCCAGCTCTGTTAAAGCATCCAGAACAACGGCCAAAGTGGTTGGCTTCCGCTTCTGATGACCCATAGGGCCTTGATCACAATGGACAAGGTTGACACCATAGACCTCCGCGAAATGCTTCCATTCAGCGGTCCTCCAAATCGACATGAACCCCTTCTCAGCGACTTCCTCCGACGACCTGTAGTTGGCCGGGTCTTCTGGCTGCTCCACAACCAACATAGTCTCATTAGGCAGACGAGTGTCCTCGCAAAGCACGTACATGGCCAACATGCGAAAGAGCAAAACACTGTCCCCCACCACTAGCTGATGGTCAGCAGCCGACAACGTGGGCAGACCATAGGGGAATTCTTCCGATCGAAGCACACCAGGACCCCCATCTTCTTGATATCTCAAAGCCGACACCGTACGGCAGGGAGGGCCGCCTAACAAGGCCTTCA